AATTGTTTTATATTGTTATGATGGCATCTCGACACAAGAGGGTGCAATGACAGGTCTATTACACATAGAATAGGGTATATAAGGAAGCGTAGGACTGTCCCCTCCCAGTTCTGAAGAAGTCCGCGATGACTGACGGATGAACCACGTCAATGCAGTGATGGTCCTGATGCGACGTATGCTGGTGTCTCCATGCTGGATTTCACATTGCAAACTGGAAGCCAGGTTACACGGCAAACTATATGGAAAACCACTCCCACTAAGTACTAACAAGGCGCTATGATAGCAGCGATTTGCGGCATTGGAAAGAGCTCCCTTTTAGAAAGTGAAATACTTATATCCTTATATGGACGGATCGTAGCGCTGTGACTGGAGGTGGTAGTAAGTGATTACTTCTATTGAGAAAAGCCACTATCCATATTCACTATACACTGCATTGGACTCTCATGTGTCCATACATATATTGTTTATCCTTTCCTCAATGAGCTGGCTAAATCTTTCAACACCAAGCGGACACTCTGCAATTACAACATTGCCTAGACAGCCCTGAGTGTCTTCTTGGTGTATGCCTATACTGACCGGTCTGATTGATTCATCTATATTGTTGCCTTATATTTACCATTCCCTAATATTCATGATTGAAAAGATCATTAACAGTGAGAATCATCACTGAGACTTTACACTGAGTTATACGGTAACTACTGGATACATATGCTGCCGACCAATGGATATGGTACCAAATATATGGTGATTTTACTAATCAATCTCAGTGTGTACCTATTCACGCTCAATTATTACATACCAAGTCCCATCCATTTGGATTTTAACAGATTATTTGTCTCATTAGTGATGATTGATGATTTTCCAATTTTTGCATTTACAGCTATGCATGTGTGAAATATCTTGGTTTCCTAGCCAGTTAGGTGCATAATATCATGTACCAGCTACGATCACAGTACAGACACATTCTATTAGTGCACCTATTGTATTGTTTTTTGACTGTTGATTGTATGCTCACTCTGTTAGAGCAATGTTCTTCCAAGGATCTTTTTGATCACACAAAGATAAGTATTTTTGCAATTAACTCTATTTTCATGTTACTCTGCTCGGGCAATTAATATTACCGACTATGCACAGTCTGTTCTTTACAGCTGTTTTGTTCTATTTAGTCACTTATTTTGGTTTAAACCCGCACCATTATTTTTGGTGAGTCAGAGAACTCATACTTAGGTTTTCAGCTAATATTGTGGCTTATATTTCTTACGTCTGTGAATTCATGATACCATCAATGAAATGTAGTTCCCCTACACCAGCAGCACTCATGCATCCCCAAAGAAGGACACTGCCACCACCATGTTTCACTGCATTTTTTGTTTGTACTGCTCACCTTTGAAAGGCGATACAGTTTTGAAGCCATTAGTTCCAAAAAACATTTATCTTGATCTCATCATCCCAGAGTACAGAGTCCCATAGTCTTCTTCTTTTTCAGCATGGGCCCTGGCAAATTCTAGGTGGGCTTATTTTGTGCATGGGCTTTAGGAGAGACTTTCTTTGTGGACAACACCCATGCATGCCATTCCTCTGCAATGTACACTGTATTGTGTCACAGGAAACAATCACCCCAGTTTAGCTTTCTACTTCTTTAGCTAACTGCAGTGAACTTGCATGGATATTTTCTTCAACCATTCTCAACAGAAGATGCTCCTGTCGAGGTATTATCATTTATGCTGAGTACTGTATGTCATATATGTAGTAGGGATACTTTACTTTCTCACAATTATTTTTAGAGATATCTTCCCACTGACAAGTTCCCACTGACATGATGGATCTTTTTAACTATCTATAAGTGGGTAATTCTTCCCAGTTCCCAAGTGTAAGGAGCCTAGTGACCATCACACTAAGTAATCATGAGTTGTATATATAGTCATTTTTTAGCAGGGGTTTCCTAAGACTGGAAAAATATTTTAACGGTTCCTCTGTGTTGAAAGGGGTGAGAGACTGCTTGAAAGTGTATTTATAATGAACACTTTTTTGCTGCCCATAAATCCCATACTGCACATGTGTCCCTAGAGCACAGTACAAATCCTGCTGCTCCGCTGAAGGTTTCCTTAGATGCTGGCAAGCCAGATGCTCCAGTGCACATTGTGCACACAAGTTCTAGCGTATGCTGTGGCTGTAAACCACAGCCATTCTGGGAAAGAAAAAGCAGGCATTTGGCCTGGCCACTCCCAAGTACCTCTGTGTACAGAACCTCTGCTTCTCACTTTAGGCTTGCCTGACATCTTTAACAAAGGGGATTGCCTGAATTTCAAAAAAGGCCCTAGCAAAAGAAAACTAAATAAAATATACTTCCCCCACAAAATCAACCATGAAACACCAAACTCAACCCAATTTTTTAACCTAGCAGAAAATAAAAACATAGATTAACGTGAAATAAAATGACCTAATATAACAAAGAAAAACACGCAAGAATATTTGGCTCACCGCTCTGCAATCCACAGTAATTTAGTTCAATATAGCACTATATATCAACTAACTTCCCCTATACAGACTGTCAGTTGTCAGTTTTGCCTAAACTATTCCAACACACACTGACAAATGACTGCTGGAAAGCCACCCTTTTATAGTGAAAGGCTGACACATAGCAATGCCCCCATTATTTGCTCTTCTCAGGCAGCTAACCTAAGTGCAAATGCCAGGCAGTGCAATATTGTTACACATTCATTCGCCAGGATCACAAATGAATCTGCCTCATCTCTACCTGTATTCTCCTTGCAGCTGATTTTTTTCCCCATTACTAACTTACCATGCCCTGTTCTGCATCGTGTCTGTGTGCAGGCAGCCATTTTGGTTAACGCAGAGATTTGCTTCCTGATGTCTTTGAGCCTCCAGCAATGATAATACTAAGCAGTAAAGACTACCAGTCAGGGGAAACTTTACTTTAGAAGATCTCAAGCTGCATATATGCAAAACAGAAATGCCTCGTCATCCTCACATGTCAAGAAGTGCACTGCTATTTTTCGGGAGGAATTCAAGACAAAGAGTAAATTTTCCAATGCATTGCTTCGGCACAATAACAGTTTTCAGGCATTTCCTATAACATAGCAAATTTTCCATTTTGAGTTCAGATCCCCTTTAGGAGAGAGGGAGCTAGTGTGTCGCTCCTCTATGACTCACTGTGCAGTTTGTGTAATCTGATTTCTCATCTTTTCACATCTGTTTTATACACACAGCTGTATAATGATGTGGGGAAAACTACAGCTTTTGCATGGAGCTGTGTTCAAATGAAATATTCATAAGTAATATGTTATATTTACCACATTAAATAGAAATCTGATGAAAACATTTATTCTTTAAAGAAAAAAATCACTAAACATTCCCAGTAACATGGTGCAGTTTTCCTAACTATGATCAGTATTTTACTATGTCAAGCAAGGTTATTTAGGTTAGCTGCTGTAAAGAATATAGATTGTCCTATGTGCCTAAAATAGAAATACGAAGTTTAGCTTGTATCGAACATTATACCCTGTAACTATCCCAAAATAGGCTACCCTGAAGTGAACAGTGAGTAAATTAATGTAACCTGATGTAGCAATACCATGAAAGTAGCCAAATTGGTCTCAGTTTTGTAGAAATTTAAAAAGTAAGCTGCTAGAAAGTTTCAGCCATGTGGACCTATTCTCTACTAGTACAAGAACCCACTCAAGTTCAACACAAACAATAAATCTACTGCATGTTTTATTATCTGTAAACAATACATTTAGCCTAAAACCAGTAGGTGAAAATATTGAACTAAAGTTTACCACGTTTGCATTGGTGGGAGCTGGTGCTTTAAATGGGCCATTACACCTGAGGCTGGAACGAGGGGCTCTCAAAATGCGGCAATTTGATTGGTTGCACAGTTTTGGCATCATCCTGGAGCCCATCCTACCACATTAGTAGCTCATTGGTGGTGACAGGTCACCCAGAACAACACGGCAACATATATATGCATTGGCTGGATGTTAGGGTCCACATACAGTTTATGGAAAGGCTAGGTGGTGACATCACACTCTCCAACTTGCCCAATTAGAGAACACTTTGTATTTATTCAGAGGATGCAAAGCATTCTCTGAATGGCACCCATGTTGAGCGGCTGACCTCCTGTGCTCACAATACAGCACACCAGCCACTCTGCACAGGAGATCACTTAATTAGTGGTGTCTACTTCAGTGATTTTCAGCTTCCAGGGGCATTGGCTGTGTATAGTACATAACATCCCAGCTGGACCAATACCTGGAATTTTCCTTTAAAGTGAATCTAAAGGCTTATTTTTTTTTTTTTTATAAAATACAACAAACATGTCTATACTTACCTGCTGAGTGCAGTGGTTTTGCGCAGAATAGCCTGAATCCTCCTCTTCTCGGTTCCCCATCCGGCGCTCCTGTGCAAGCAGCAGCTTGCTATGGAGGGACCTGCTGCTTCATGTGTCCATTCAAACACTGAGCCACGGCTCGGCCCTACACCCTCTGTCTTCTCATTGGCTCACTGGCTGTGATTGACACCAGTGGGATCCAATGGCTCCTAATTCTGTCTCAGCCAGTGAGAAGAGGGAGTTCCGGGTTAGTGCACATCACTGGATCGAGAGGGGGCTTAGGCGAGTATTGGGGGAGGGGGCTAGGGGATGCTGCATAGAGAAGGTTTTTTTGCTTCGTGCATAGACTGCATGAAAGTAAAAAACCTTGAGCCTTTAGAACCACTTTAATACATCTGGCCAAATCAAATACAATTGCAATTATAATCTTTAACTGCTTGCCTGCCACCCTATAGTAGAACTACTGCTACAGGGCGGCAGGGCTGTGCAAAATCACGTATATATACATGATTTGTATTTCCGGGTAGGGGGCATGTGCGCCCCCCTTCCCACGCCGCCATTGGCAGGTAGGCATGTCAATCACCGGGTCCCGGCCAGAGATTCCCTGCCAGCACCTGGTGATCACCATGTAGAACTGACAGTGGAGAGACCTGTGTGTAAACAACACAGGTCTCTCTCCTGCCAGGAAGGACATGCTGCTGTGTATTTATGTGCACAGCAGAGAAATACACAGCAGCATGTCTCCCTAGTGAAACACACAGCACATTATGTAAAAAACAGCACACTGTTAACTCTTTGATCGCCCCAGATGTTAGCCCCTTCCTACCCAGTGTCATTAGTAGTGTCAGTGCTTTTTATTAGCACTGATCACTATATTAGTGTCATTGGGATGTCAGTGGCAGTTAGTCAGTTCCCCCCCAGTGTCAGAATGCCCGTCGCAGTCCCGCTATAAGTCGCTGATCGCTGCTATTACTAGTATAAAAAATAAATAAATAAAAAATCCAGTGTATAAAATGCCATTTGTAGACACTAACTTTCACTTAAACCAATTCATTTACATGTATTGGGAATTTTTTTAGCAAAGACATTTAGCAGAATACATTTGGGGCTAAATTCATGAAGAAATTATATTTTAACATTTTTTTTTACTGGATATGATATATAGCAAAATGTCAAAAATATTGGAGTATTTTTGCAGAATTGTCGGTATTTTTTTGTTTAAAGTGCAAAAAAATAAAACCCGCACAGGTAATCAAATACCACCGAAAGAAAGCTCTATTTGTGGGGAAAAAAAGGACATAAATTTCATTTATGTACAGCATTGCATGACCGTGCAATTATCAGTTAAATTAACGCAGCCTTGGTCAGGAAGGTGGGTAAATCCTCTGGAGGGCAAGTGGCTAAAGTTGAACTTCACTTTTGTTGAAAAAAAAAAAAACCTTCCCCTCTGGGTGATCTACAGTTGCAAGAAAAAGTATGTGAACCCCTTGGGATTACGTGGAGTTTTGCATGAATTGGGCATAAAATGTGCTCTGAACGTCATCTAAGTCACAACAATAGAAGAACACAGTCTGCTGAACATAATACTACACAAACATTAGATGCTTTTTCTTTTAAATGTCTTCCGGTAGCCACAAAGGATATATATCCACTTTTTGTGAACCAAATGTGTTTTCAAACTTAGTTATTACCTTGTAAAATTAGCAGTAGCATCATCACAGTGCTGCACAAGTGCACAGAGCAGATCTATGGGCAGCAGCCATCATGGCCACCCACTGTAGGCTACCTGCAGAAAATACAGGAGATGCAGAGACAGGACCAGTCCCCCTGCACAAAAAAGAGAGAGTAGCAGTGACCAGTCTTTATTACAGGAAGTTCCTGTACAAGGCAAAGTGCAAGAGCTTTTTCCTGATGGATTACTGCCCAGATCTGAAAGAAGCACACAAAAGACAACGAGAATAAAGTAGGAATACAAATGGCTCTTGTATTTGGATAATTTTTTTTAGCCCCAAGTCCAGCTTTAACTTTGTTCACTGCTCATGCTGTCTCCGGAGAGAAGAATGATGTCCATTATTAAAGTGAATTGTAGAAGTGAATGCCACAAGCTCACAATCTGCCCTTGTCATAATAACATTTTTAAAGCAATGTTACATTGAAGTAACAATCAATTTTTTAAAAGCTGAGTAAACCATTGAAAATGAAGGTTTTTTCCCCCAGGTTTATCAGTGGTCTAAAACACCGACATGGCCAGGACCAGATCTCCAAAGCCTGGGACTTTCCTTGGAAGTGAGATAAAATGTTTGCTGTTTTTGGGAGCTTGTACACTGTGAAAAATAGAAATGATTATGCTAGAACTGCAAACTGTTGGCCATGATTAAAACAAGCTGTGTTAGAGTATACTTTCTCATTCTCTTGCTGACAGTAAGAAAACCCCTTGAAAGTAAAAAACATGATTTAGCATTGGCTTTTGTTACTAGTTGCAGTGTTCCTGTAAATTAAATTGAAAGTGTTCCTCCATGACATTGCCCATAAGAAAGGACAGGGAGGAGTAGGCATGCCAGTTTAAATGTTCAATAATTAGGTGGCAGACTGGTTGCAAGAATGTCCAGGAAGAGTGCGTTTGACTGTCCTTAATGGAACACTGTGCCAACTGCCTGCCGCCACCTGGGTCTTAACAATATTAAAAGCCACATATGTCCTTAGTCTGCTTTTTTTCAAAATTGTTCAATAATGCTTGCGTTTACTTTTCTTACTAATTCAATGACTCAGAAATGACTGCATCAAAATGAAGGTCACTTAGGTAACAATTCAATTAATACATGCCAAAGCTCTGGATCTGCCCGACGCCAAGAAATGTCCACCATAAACAAGTTGATCCCACAGCGATCCTTTAAAAGTGCATAAAAGCGTCTATTGTTACAGGTACTAAATAGTATAAGACTCTTCATTGGGGCGGCACAGTGGCTTAGTGGTTAGCACTTCCACCTGGTGATACTAGGGTCGTTGGTTCGAATCCCAACCACGGCACCACCTGCCTGGAGTTTGCATGTTCTCCCTGTGCCTGCGTGGGTTTTCTCTGGGTACTCCAGTTTCCTCCCACACTCCAAAGACATGCAGGTTGGTTAATTGGATCCTGTCTAAATTGTCCCTAGTATGTGCATGTATGGATGTAAGTTAGGGACCTTAGATTGTACACCCCTTGAGGGTTAGGGACTGATGTGAATGTACAATATATACAGTATGTAAAGCACTGCATAAATTGACAGCACTATATAAGTACCTGAAATAAATAAATAATTGTGACATTGTGGGAGACTATGCACCATTTCTCAAGCACAGAGTGTGGAGCTAAACTTAGGTTTCTGGCTGTATCTGACTTGTTAATGTGATTTCATGTCAGAAAAAAGCCTTGCACTCTGCTTGAGACCCTTTCCCTTGGGAACAGCTATCAGATCTAATCTACAGTGCCACTACAGGTGAGAACTGGTATTACAGATCTATAGATAACGCTTCGGTTATGAAATTATGTGCATTACACTTACCTTTGTTCCCCCGATCTAGAGATCCTCAGATGCAAAGTTTACTCTCAGTACACTGTGCTGATTCTTCTACGATCCAACCAATCCCCCAAGTGTCACATTGGCAATAGTTTTATGGGGCCATTAACTAATTTTGACTACCCGCAAAGAAGAGTGCTAATGGCAGAATTTTGCAATATATTGATCTCAAATATTCTCTGTAGTAGAGGAACAGGGGTAAGCGTAATGTTCATAATCTAAAAATTTGACATGTTATCAGCCCCTGTTTAGCAGAGTTGGAGTTTGAAAGAAAAAAGCAGTAGAAGAAGCAAATCCATTCATGTGCCGATAAGTAAGATGATAGGGAGATGAGCTCATCACTGTGCTGCTTCTCATTTCACTGTCCAGTAAGCAAGTCCAGAGCTCAGAGGAAATGGATTGAATGACGCTGGCCATTAAACTGAAGACATCTACTTGCAGAAAAAAAATGTACTGCTGAAAGAAGGGAGGGGGTGTTCGAAGGTGGTGTGAGGGGAATCCCTGGATTAAAGGTGAAGATTGCAGCTAAAGTTGGTTTTTTTGTTGTCTGAAATGTCCTAATGGGCTCTTCATTTTTATTTTGTAATTTTTGGCTGGAGTTCTGATTAACCTCTTGAGTTTCAGCACTGTTTTAAAACAGCGCTGGGCTCAAGGGTTTTTAAACACACTCCTGGCTACTATAGTGGCCAGGAGTGTGTGTACTCATGTTAAGCTGAATGTCAGCTTTTGCGTGGAAGTGATTTGGATGGCATTAAATTTCCTAATCACTTGCAACATGTTGCCATTGTTAGGGCCATTGGCTGCATTGGAATACAGTGGAGACATCAGGGGTCTAATAGATCCCTGATGTCTTCATAATGAGAACATGTTAGAACCTATATGCTATTACATATGGGCTATTGGTCCACTATGTGATAGCAATAAAGTTATGTAAATTAAAAAAATAAGCATTTAATGTGACAAATAGAAAAAAAAAGTTTTTTTTAAAGTCCCTGCACCCCCATACGCACACTTATATAAAAAATTGTTGAGGCACCTATATGCAAAAAAGGCAATTGCCCTACAATAAATCTTTATAATTAATTATTAATTGTCACCATTTCAATGGTACATGCAATTTTAAGACTTGACATGTTGGGTACCTATTTACTCAGCACAACCTCGTATTTTGTATTTTACCATAAAATCAGACAATATATCTGCATTTTTCACCATTTTTCACCAAAAAAATATGGGTTTGATTAACCATTGCATCTTGTGCCATAAAAAATTACAACTTTGCAAAACTTGGCCTAAAATGTGCATTTTAGCATGTGTGAAAAAGTAAAAAAAAATAGATCTGTGACTGAAGTGGTTAACCAAAATTTGAGATAATATTTCAGCCACACAGAATGCATTGATTTTAATTAGCTGTTGGCCTCACATCATATGTAATATTTATTTTTGTGAAGAAAACTTTTTGACTTTTGTGAATGTGATAAGTAAAAACAAAATTAAAGTATAACTAAAGGTAAACTTTTTTTTATTTTGGATAGAGTTAGGGAGGGTTATAACCCCTGTCTTGTTTATTTGCCATCTGTATCCCATTGAGGAGAAATCCATTCACCTTCTTTTCTATAGCCAAAACAAGAAGTGAGAGGAAATCCCTGCAAATTAAGGAAATCCCTTGGGGACCCCTAGGTGACCAGAACCCTAACCCCAAGGTAGATCGCCTCAGTATTTAGTAGGTAATGCAGGATACCACTGCTTGTGATGGCTCCTAATAATTGTCTGTCATCTAGATGCATCAAAGGCCACCAGTCAGGGCTTGTTCACACTATGTGCTGTTGCCTGCATTTTTATCTCATGGATAAATGCAAGTGAGTGCAATGACCAGTTGACTTTTGTGAGTCATGTTCACACCAGAACACAGTGTTTTACTGCATTCCAGAGCTGTAGGATATTATGCAACATGTTTGCATAATATCGCACTTCTCTGAATGGCCCTGCAGTGCTATGCAGTGGCATGAATGAAGTATCACTTTGTATACCTCATATAAAGTTGAAAAAAAGGGATCTGTATGATGCGATAAAACATGCATTACATTGCACTCTGCTACACCTCTCTGCAGTCCAAAACGGACTTCTGCCTGTGTGTATAGTCCCCTTACCTGCCAAGAACGCTTTCCATTCTGTTATTGCTTGACCAATGGCTAATTCACACCAAT